TATATACATTTTACCAAGTATTTTTGCGCTTATCGCCACGTATTATTGCCTCTCTTGTATTGGGTCCAAGGTAGGACGGAAATGAGCCAATACGTACGTCGAAGCACACATTCGTTTGCCGTTTACTTTTTCTTGTTCTTATTTTTGTAAGGCGAACGAAGGAGTTTAGTTTCGCGTCGCGGGTAAGTCCCGACGCTCAAAATGATCGGGTCGGGGAACATTATGGTGAGGAGCTTCTCATGGCTTTTCTCCCTTTTCGCGCGCGAAACTTGCCATGATTATCTCTTGGCATGTCGTCCGCCCCCCCCCATCCCCCCATCCCCCCATCACACCAACTCCACCACAATCCCCTCTTTTCTTTTTTACCTTTGCAGCACACTGCACTACACACTACTTAGGTATTATAAGCCACGGTACGGCCGCGTTAAGCCCCGCGGCAATTTATTGTGCCTCGACGCCGCGCCTTTAGCCTTCGCCTCCGCGCGTCTCTTTTGGGGGGGGGGGGGGGAGAAAAATAATAACACGGTATATATGCAAATAACGTGTGGCGAAATTACTATTATTAACGGATTTTTCATGTGGCTCGATATGCAAATATTCAGCCGACCGACTTGGGAGCGCCGCATCCTTCTCTGCGAGTATCTTCTTTTTTCTTCTCTTCTTCATTTTGCCGACAGAACAATAATCCGACGGGAAGTGTACTGACTCTCGTTTTTCTCGCGCCGATAGCCAATGTACTCCGTTCTCTCCCTCCCTCTCCTTCACTTTTTATGATTATTTATATGTTTTTGTTATATTGTTCACAATGTTGTCATACTTTCTCGGTTATTATTGGCTTTTAGACATTTTTGTGGCGCGCCATTCGCATACCTTTTTTACGATAATTCCCTTGATTGCAGTGTTTCCGATCGACCATTGCCAAAATAAAGATAACAAAACAAAACAAAAGGAAAAAAAAAAGTCCAAACAAAACAAAACAAACAAATGAAAAAAATGAAAGAAAAAAGGTAAGAATTATTAAGTAATCAATATTTTGATATTTTTAATCCGACGTATGAGTAAGCATCGCAATAATCAAAGCAATTCCTTATACGAAACGAGATTACAAAAACAAAAAGGGAGAACATTTATCATCAATAAGTTTAAAATATTTGACGGTCCATCTCCCGATCCAATTACATTTTCCTCCATTTTTCGACAAATTTTGTGCTCTTCCTCTCTTACCGCTCTCTAATCTACCACCGCGTTCATTAACGCGACTCCCCCCCCCCCCCCCCCCCCCTCCCCCTCCCCCCCCCCCCCCCTGCTCCATTAACAGGGCTACGACGCGCTTGTGGTCCACCTGGAAAGTAAATATATAAATAAAGCGTACAAGGGCTTTAGGTCGCCCGAGCAACGCACCATTCTTCAACAAATTTGCAGCCGCTACATTGTGAAATCCCTACAAGCACTTAACGCCCGAACGAAGAGCGGCTCATCTCGTAAACGGTCCCGCACGCGAAAAGTTATAATACAGTTGAGCGCAAAAACGACAGTGGACTGGCTGTAAACCCGGTTAAAAAATCAGTAGAGCAAAGTGTCCATCGGCACATTCGCTCCTCCTTCGTCTTCACTCCACGTAACCTTAACTTCACTTCACTTAATGCTAACTTCGCCTTCATAGCCACTTAACGAGCCGCTTACGCGGCATTAGTTATTTTGAAAACGGCTCGCGCGTTTCAGCGACGGCCGCGCGTACATTCCTCCCAAGCACGATTACGAGATGTGTATGGGCGCTTCTTCGACGCCCGTCAACGTCAACGTCGACGTCGCGTCCAACGAGAAGGAAAAATGCGAACGTGCGCTTCGTCGAGGACCTCGTCCCCTGACGCAATCCCCTGCGAATACTGACGATTTTTGGCCTAAGTGTGTTAGGAAACCGATGTCGAGAGAGCGAGAGAGAGCGCGAGAGAGAGCGCGAGAGAGAGCGCGAGAGAGAGCGAGAGAGCGAGAGAGAGAGAGAGCGCGAGAGAGAGCGAGAGAGCGAGAGAGAGAGAGAGAGAGAGAAATAGAGACAGAGTGCGTGCGTGCGTGCGTGCGTGCGTGCGTGCGTGCGTGTGTTTGTGTGAGCGCGATTGGGGCCGCCGTGGCAGCCATCGCGACTGCCGTCGCCTCGATATCATAGTTCACGACAGCGCGCCTCGTAGGCAACTACTTGTTACGCTTATAAAATGTACGATAAAGCTGGGGGATATTTTATCCCAGGCAGATTTAAAAGTTTTTTTTGTTCCCTGCCGTGTAGTATCTATAATATGTTGCCCAATCTGCGTCAAAGATTAATTTACAGGCTGCTTGGCTCGCTCTCGAGCGATGGTTTCTCCGTCGTTCGACTATCTCTTTAAAATATCCAGTAGATTTTTAGTTAAGGAAGGAGGCTGCGTTTATCCGCCGGCCTCCATAGATTTGACATTGTTGGACGAACTTGTGCGACGAGTCTTAGTTTTGGGATTGTTGAGCCGTACGAGCGGCTCGGCCGTCAATTTAATGGCCCGATAAAGTTCAACCTAATCCGTCTATGCCCTTAATTAGGAAAGCGGTAAGTGCAGTTGCCGACCGAGAAAATGCGAAGGGCGACATTTAGCTTGTCGGCCCCGGGCAACTCTCGAGATACCATGGAATTAAAATGTTACACTCTGCATTGAAACAGTGTGTCACTTGGCGTGGATAATAATTTTTCGAGCGACAAGCCACTTGCCGCCTCCTCGATAATTACACGGAATAACGTGACTTTATCAAGCTCAAGATAAAACGACGATTTTGCTAGTGTTAAAAGAGCGCGACTTCACGTGCTAAAAATCACTTTCGAAACATCGAGGAAAAATGCACGCGAAGCTGTTCCGCGTGTCTTCGGCCTCGTTTATTCGGTCATTTCGGCAAGTCGTTCCCGACGCCTGGGAAAAAGAGTTTACGAGTGTAATAACTCGACATGCTATTTCCACTTGCCCCGACGATTGAAAATTCAACGTTTACGATCGGCCGACGTCATGATCGAATTCTCAGCAGTGAGTAATAATTTGGGACAAGGCCCAGATTCTATTCGTATATAGCCATGATCCGTTCCCATTACCCGTTCCCAAAATTAATATCCTATACATATACGACATGATGGATAATTTCATCCACTTAATAATGTTAAAATGTCACTTTTATCCATTATAAGACTATTTATTTACTATTTAATCTGCCATTAGGAAATTATTATTTCAATATAGCTTGCTGCTTAGATAATAAAAGTGAAATGCAAAAATCTAAGAATTTTCTACGATAAACGATCGTTCAACAATTTTTTCCATTGACTTTCCTATGCCGCGCTTGTCAATTTATTAATGAGTGAGAAAATTCATTACTAATAGATGCACCGTAGTGTAACGTTTTAATATTAAAAATCCTTAATCCTTTGACTTTTAAACGTGACATTGGGTCGTATTTCAAATACTTTGTTATTCAATATTGTGTTGCAATCTTTACGAAAAAAATCTTCTAAAAATTTCCAAACGGCAGAAATCTCATCGACTTCGACGAACCTTGTGTCCTCTACACGGTATTTTTAGCGATTCTCTCAACAAAATAGACGTCGTTCTCGAAATCGCTGTCGGAGAGATTCGACGAGGAGCCGAGAGGCCTTAACCCCTTACAGAGATGCTATTTACAGCCGCTGTAAACCTCGAACTTTCACCAACCCTTTTACAGTAATGGCATATAAGTGTATGCAGTGGCCATTTTTCTAAGCTGCACTTTCTCTCGCATTCTTTCACGTAGACGCCTAGTTAAAAAGTTCACTTGCAAAAGACGAAATGTTGTCGCTTGTAGATAAATATTCTCTTCTATGGGCAAGAGTAGCTACCGTATTTATTAGAAATCATCCGCGTAAATAATATCTTTATCCTTTTTACTACAATGTTATTTTTATTATTCCGTCGGTAGAAAGTGTGAAAGGAAAAAGTACGTTAAATCGAAGAAGTAAATGTGTAACTGGTAACTTATGCCGAACCATTACAAGTTGTTTTATTCAAATAAATGTGTGCGTGTGTGTGCGTCCGTGCGTGCATGTGTGTGTATATATATATATATATATATATATATATATATATATATATATACACTATAGAGTAGATTTCGAAGCAATTTGTGAAGAAAGGTTTCTAAGCACAAATACTTTCACGAGACTATTTAGCTTAGCTTATCAGTTCTGCTGTGTTCGCGGAATAGAGTAAACAATTTCTCTTTTAAATATCTATTTCAGCGGGTATAGAAGGGCGAAGGTGAAAGGGTCGTAGATGGCCGACTAAAATAGAGAACTGAAATAAATTATTTAAACACCCACGTAATCGTAGTAAGGCACGAGAACACGGCATTCATTGGTTGGTAATCATTTTTCATAAAAACGTTTTATATTTTTTACATTGTTGCGGCATTTTGTGCGACGCTTGTTGAAATAGGCTGTCCAAACACAAAATAAAAAAAAAAAAAAACAAAAAAAAACAATAAAAACAAATTACAATTAGCGCCATTTTATCGTGCAATCGTCGGGCAGTTTTGCCTACATATGAACATACCGTTTCACTTATAAATTTTCAGAGTAATAAATTTAGATTTAAATAAATGCATATTATATCGATATTATGATTTTAATTTTATATTTACGATAGCAATAAAATATAATAGTGCGACGATAAAACGATAATTTATTTTATTTTGAAACGCAACTCGAGTATTTAAATCGAAGTTGTAATTGTATAAAGCGATAAGGTACATCATAATGCCAAGCTTCCCTATATATTGATCATTGATGGAAGAAAATTTTGTACGTAATTATTAACTGGATTAATAAATAAGTATTAAGCAATTTTGGTTACAAATTTTGATTGCCCAACGGATATATGTTAATAAAATAATTTCATTTAATCATTGCCGAGATTGGCTGGAAAATAACGTGACTCTTTTTTCTTGTAATTTTTCAGATTACTTAAATGGGGTTGGGGCGCCTACTCCTCCAGATCCTGCATAGGTGAGTTTTACGATCGCTCGTAAACCGATAGTTTTAAATTTCTGTAGTATTCTCTGTTTCAATATTATTTTTATCTCGATCAAAAGATGTCCCGAGGAATCAAGAAAGAGATCAAGGAAAATAAAGAAAAGTCTCGTGTAAAGTCTCATTACCATTTTTCTTAACGTATGATTATCGACTTGGAAGGATAAAAACAGGAGTGCAAAATGCAAACGATCGGAGATAGGCTAAAGAGCCAAGTTTAGTATGTAAGGCTCGAAAGGAGAAAAACCCTGTAATTACGACGTTTCTTCACTTATAAAGTATTGAATTGATAGCGCAAGTTGCTCGTCTTTAATTATAAGCAAAATGATGATTATCGGTTTAAAATAGGTGCGTCCCTAAAATTCACCGAGGAATTCGATCGTTATCCATAGGAAGCATAAGGCAAGGATTAAATGCGAAGACAATTTTTTGAGTTCATAAAAATCATTAAGGCTTATATGACTGTAAAGTAGACGCACTGGTTGCGGCCACTTTAAGGATTTTTATGGTTGCAATAAACACGAAAACAGGTGCAATAAAAAAGGTAAAGCAGGATAGAGAGTACAAAGAAACCATAGCGAAAATTATTACCTTTTTATACAAAATCTGTATCGCATACGTTACTTTTTAATGATAAATTTTGTATACGTATGTGGGAGGCCCTAGTAATTATTAAATATAAATCAAATACTTTCTTTAAGACGACGTATGCCTAACATTGTTTGTATCTGATTAAAAATAACGTATTGCAGTTATATTCCTTTATTTAGAGAGGCTAGGTTTTTCTGACCGCTGCTCTTTATATTTCATAAAAGTCCTTACGTTTCTTCAGTTATTTATTTAAAGATTATTTCACGTTCTTACACGCTCATCTCTTTAATACACACTGCTCCACAAATACCGCAAAATAATGCCCAATACTACCATGAAACTCTTCTCGTACGAGTGATATTAATTTTTTATAATCGCGTTAAAGTATATTTAGACAGTCAACGGTGCATAAAACATTTAAATGCGTATAAATAAACACGCCTCGTCATAATAGAACATAAAAGCCATGATACTTCTGTTGGGAAGCTCGCGACATTTAATTCCCAACCAGTCATTTATCACTGATTTGTCCAGATATTTTATTTTTATTTAATTATTTTTTTTTTTCCCTCCCCCACTCCCAGCCCCAATATCATTATAATAATATTGTATGAACTTTACTGCAGGAGGTCCTTTAAAAGTTAAACGGTGATCGTTAGCTCCTTTAACGGCTGGAGATAATTTTATCGAGCATGCCATCATCCACTAGCTTTGACCAATGGCACGCCCAATCTCATTTAAACATATTATACAAAATCGAAATTATTGACAATTGGTCAATAAGGAAAATCGAAGGGAGGCTGAACATTCGTTCGCGACTAAAAATGACGCAAAATACGATAATTTCTCGTTGATAAACATCGATACCCAAACGTCCATCAGCATGACAAAAATTAAACGGGCAATCTACAATGGATGACAAGACATTATTAACACAACGAGGAAATCTCATAGAGACTCGTTGTTGTAAGCTTTGTTCGTGGTTATCTCAGCTACTCGCATAATGTCACTTATCTTAACTTTCAGGCTACCAACTAACCCCTCCTTTTCACTACTATCGCTATGTTATTCGGAGCCTGTTGAGTTGAAACTACCTCAAAATATATATCGCGAGGTATAGAGCGGAATGGAGAATGGAGGGAAAATTGCTGATTCGCGAGGTGAAATGTAGCTCGGTTGCAATTCTGTGGAGTAGAGCGGAACAACGTCGTCCCCATAATGGCTAACTGACATACAACAGCAGCGACGGTCGCGTTGGCGACGGCAACAGCATCAGCATCAGCATCAGCATCAGCATCAGCATCAACATCAACATCAGCAGCAGCAGCAGCAGCAGCAGCAGCAGCAGCAGCATCAGCAGCATCAGCAGCATCAGCAGCAGTATCAGCAGCAGCATCAGCAGCGCCGTCCCCTTCCCCGGACGTCCATCCCATCCACTTTTCCTCTCACAAAAGCGATGGTCCTGAAGGACTCGAGCTCCATCTCCCTCCCACCCGCGCTCCATCTCTCTCGTGTGCTTGGCTCTCAGCAGTGGCGCGCGAGTCTAGTTTAACCTGACGCCGCTTCCTTTGCCCGTAGCGGCACGTTGCGGCCATGTTGCATCGAGGGCTGGGCTACACCAAAAGAGCCGACGACTCATTGGACGACAGTCAACGCAGAACACAAACCTTGTGCTCCTGCACTATCCGCTTTCTCTCTTTCTCTCGCATCCGCTCTCCAACTATCTCAATCTCCCTCTCTCCCTCCTGCCCTTCTACGCCCTCGCTCCCTCTCTCACACACTCTCTCTCTCTCTCTCTCTCTCTATCTCTCTCTCTCTCTCACACACACTCTCTCTGACTCTCTAACTCTCTAACTCTCTATCTGCCCTGCCTCTCCCTCCCAACCGATCTACCTATCCACCTTTCTATCTTCTCATCTATTTGTCTATCTAACTTTCTCTAACTCTTTATCTCTCTTGTTCTCTAGCTCCATAATCCTCTAACTCACTTTTTCACTTTCTGTCTTTCTTTATCGCCCATCGACCACCGTTGTCTCGCTTTCACTTACTTAAGCCACTCGCCGACTTTCTGTCACTCTGTCTGTCTGTCTCTCTCTCTCTCTCTCTCTCTCTCTCTCTCTCTCTCTCTTTGTCTAACTCTATCTCTCTACGTCTCCGTATCTCGACGCTGCTTCATCTCTTTCGCTTCCTGTCAGAAGAGTCCGAAGAGCACATATAGAAAGGTACACGTAGCAATTGCGCGTCCACGCGCTCACACGCATTCAAACCCCCACATATGCGTGCCTTTAGTGTGCGAAAATATCATTACTAGTGTTTCTTATCTCGGCTCTGTGGACTTTTTTTAATTTATACCACGCCTGACTATTCTTCTGTGCATTTTATATTCGAGAATGATTTTTTTAAATATTAATTAAAAAGGCCTTTATCGTTCAAACTGACTCCACTCTATTGTCCATTTTATTACGATCCTTACGAAAACACAGGAGAGCGTTTCGAGTAATTGCTTTTTACGTAAATTAAAGGTTGAATCAAAGGGCCAAAAATTTGTTTTCATTGTCCTAAAAATGACAGGGTTTTAAAAATTAAAAAAATTTCACGTCAAATTCGAATTAATTTAAAATTAATTAAAAGATAGCATTCCAAACTAATGATTTATATTGTTGATTAAATATCGATTTAATGAATGTTGATAATAGTCGTATAAGAAATGTTATATTCGACGATACATACGCTTCTACGACACATGTGTATGTGTATGAGAGAGAGAGAGAGAGAGAGTGTGTGTGTGTGTGTGTGTGTGTGTATGTGTATGTATATATATATATATATATATATATATATTTTTTTTTCATCAAATGAGATAATATAAACTTTTTTTTTCATCAAATGAGATAATATAATGAAAAATATAATTGAACAAATTTTCTTATATTTATTCCTAAAATTGAACAAAGGACGCTTGAAATTTATGCTTCCTATTATGAAAGTATGCAGTACAAGAATTTCTGAATATTATTATTTTTAATTAATTAAATTTCATTATGTAGAAAGTAAGTATCTTGCAATGATAGTTAAAAATAGCCAAGAAGAAAATTAATACTATTTATACGTAATAAATTTGTTGCGTATTTTTAATTTTAATGAAATATTTTCAATTAGTCGGCTGGAAATGTACACAAAATTAATTTACAATTTAATATTAATTATTATTTTCACGTTGTTAGATATCCAATTTAACTATGATAATTACTATGGTACGCAGCGTCCTCTTCTTTCAATTTATTTATTTGTTTGTTTATCTGTTGTTTTTTTTTTTTTTTTTTTTTTTTTTTTTTTTTTTTTGTATGTTTGTTTTTCTTTTTAAATCAAAACACGATGCATTAAAGTCGTTAATTTATTGAAACCTCTGAGCTATAAATTACGGAATAATATATGTGAATTTGGAAAAATTCAACATGAACATAGTTGTAAAAGGTGTAGTTATTCGACGAATGCTTTCTACGCTCGAATACACGAGTAGTAAATGATTTATTATCCGGCACATGCTTATTTCATAATAAAAGCTTTAATTACGAGGAGATGGATTAACGAGTTTCGATCCGACGAATAATCAAACAATAATCAAACAATATAAAATTGCTCGCGATGTAAGTAAGCGATAGAGTATGAGATTCGCCGGAGCACGAGTAATTGTTTGTAGTAATGAAAGAACGGATGTTGGTAAGAAGCTGGAGCGAATTAAAGCTCCGAAGAGTAAAGTAAAAGGTCGTTTTATTCGCAAGTTCAAGATCCGCCAAGCAAAGTAGGAAGCATGAGACTTAACGATTCTAGCATTGGCCGTAAACTGTTTTATAACGCGCTATAAAATAATCCTCCTGACTTACCTGCTGTGCTTCTATAAATGTACTTGCCAGTCTGAGATTATCAATCGTTTGACCGATTTACTATATTACGTAGTATATTATATTCCTCGATCGGCATGGACATTCGCGCGAGCTAGTTGAAGAAAAACTAACAACGATCTTAACTAAGAAAAGACTTGGGAGTAAAAAGTGAAATTTTCTCCCCTTCTACCTCTAGTCAACCCTTTTGCGAGCTTTCTAATTTTTCGTACTCTTTCAAGGCGCGTGAAGCAACTTTCTCCCTGGAGATACTCTCGGCGTACAATCGACAACGACTACTTTCCAAAATGGCTAAATCCTTTAAACCCTCTATCCTTTCCGACGCTTCCTACCTTTCTCCCGCGTTCGTCAACCCTTTTTATAGCCCTTCTTAAAGAAAAAACTTTATACTCTCCAACAGTTTAGCCCCCCTCACACACACGCGCCCGTTCACTTATATTATATCGGCATACATATATCTATGTGTGGGTGTGTGCGCGCGTGTGTGTGCGTGTGCGTGTGCGTGCGTGCGTGCGCGCGTGTGTGTGTGTACGCGCGTGCGAGTATATATATATATATATATATATATATATACATATAATAGAAAAATAAAAATAAAACTTGGAAAATAAATTGTTTTCGTTGATAAACAATGCGTTTCTTTCTTATTACTTTGTCGTTGGACGTTTTCATGAATTTACCGACTACGAGATCAGTCATTATAATTGACTAATTGCACTGTAATATCATAATTGTATCATTACCATTTAATGTTATTTCTAACATTATGACTTCAACTGGTATTTTAATTCGTGAAATAATAATTAATTATTATTTTTAATCATCGGATATGCTCCTTAGCAGTTGGTTAGGTTTTTAATATAAAAATATAATTAATAAGCTCACTTTTTTGATATTGTACATTGTAGGCTTGTTTTATTAGATAATTTATTTGTAAAATTTCATATAAATTTCATAACGAATATCGAATATCGAAGTAACACATTGCGTATGCAATGTTACCATACGCAACTTTTACATTGATTTAAATGTCGTTTGTTTTCACGATAAGAGTATGCATGC